GAGGATGACTATGCACGTTTATTTCTAAAACCTCTTTGGTATATTAATGGGTCCCCTATGCGAGTCTTCAAACGGACTCCGAGTTTTAATCCACTGCACGAAACCCCAATTGCTCTTATCTGGGTATCATTCCCTCTCCTGCATATTCACTTTTAGGCCAAGAGTAGTTTGTATGCTATTACCAAAGCTATTGGCTTGCCACTGCGTATTGATGAGGCACCATTTAAAGCGCATTGGTCACAATACTCGTGATCGAGGCACTACTGCTTTTTTTATATAATGCTAGACTGTGGATTGGAGGATGCTGGTTTCCTTAGGAACAGATATACTTGGTCCAACGGTAGGGTCAGGAAAAGACTGGATAGAGTACTTATTAATTCTACAGCTACAGCATTTTGTAGATAGCTTACAGTGAGGCACTTGAATCAGACTTCATCTAAACATTCCCCTTTACTGCCACAGTAGAGCCCTGATGATGATTTGGTCCTAGACCATTCATATTTCTTAGTGTTTGGACTAAGCATCATTTTTTTTAACCTTTGTCTCCCAAAAGTGGTCATTCTCTAAGCATATTATAGGGATGGCCGCTCTTTGGGAGAAGTTCTTCAGGCTAAAACAGGCTCTGCGTTAGTGGAACCGTCATGTGTTTGGAAATATCTTCCAGCGGGTGAGGGATGCAAAGGACAGGGTTGATGAGGCAAAGGTAATATATGATAGAGACCCTACGTCAGAACATCATGAATCATTATATCAGGCCCAGACATAGCTGAACTAGACCTTATCTATTGAGGAGGATTTTTGGAAGCAAAAGGTCGGTGCTCGTTGGGTATGTAAGGGAGATCATAACACTCGATATTTCCATGCGACGGTTCAGGGACACTGGATCAGATCACGTATCCAGTCCATCAAGACACAGGCCAAAGAGGTCCTTACTTCTCCTTCAGATATTCAGACTTCGACTATTGCATTTTACCAGGATCTCCTGTCTGCGCCTTCTCAGCCAATGGATCCCATCCGCCCTAATATTATTCCTAGGCTTTTGACAGAGGATGACATTATGGCACTAAACTGTCCCCTTTGATTCACGATGTATGGGAGACGATCTTTAGCATGGATGCTGACAGTGTCACAGGCCTAGATGGTTTCTCCACCTTGTTTTTCTAACATTGCTAGGATATTATTTATGAGTATATTTTTAGGGCAGTATTGGATTTCTTTATTAAGAGAACTATAATTTTAATTCTCTTACTACCTTTTTTTATTTTGATGGTTTGGTTCATTCTTTCAAGAAGTCTCTTCAAAAACAACATTTGGAGGGTTTTATCCTTTAGCTATGACCTTATTTGGAGCCTGGCCAAGAGCAAAGTCACGACTATCACTAGAAGATAAAACATGCACTTGAACCTTAGTCAAGATTGGCAACATTTAACTATTCCGCCAAGCTTGGTACTTACGAACAACATCTTATTCCCAAATGTTTCATCTGTATTAATTTACTAATGAAAAGTTTGAGTTCAAATCAAATTCTAAATTGAAAGAAAAAATCGAAAATCAAGATTTATTAATTTATTTATTTCATAATAAATAAATAAATCTTGAGACGACATTTGTAGACATAAAAAATAAGTAAATAAAATAAATAAATTTGATCGATTTAAATCATTAGCCCAATTAAATTGAAGTCTACCAAGATCCATAAAATTCGAAAGGCACATCTCACTTTTTAATAAATAAATGAATAAAATCATAATTACTCAATTATGATTTTAATTAAAGAGAAGACACTGAAAATTTTCCTATAAATAGGACCGATGGTACATAAGGGAGGGGGAAGAAGAAGGGAAAGTGCAAAAGACAATTACGAAGTGTTGAAAAAATTTCTAAGTCGAAAGAAGAAAAGAAATTTCTTCAAGTCTGAGTCCGACAAACACCAAGAAGATCAAAATCTTCTTCGAATCAAGTAAGTTCAAGTCAAGTTCATGAATAACAATGTCTTCTTTAAATCAAATCTAATGTAAGTCCAAGTTTAAGCCTCGAAATCCAAGTGTCGAACAAGTCAAGTCTCAAGAAATTAAAATTTCAACAAATTTTCGAAGATCAGGATTCAAGCCACGTGGCCTTTCATCTTCAAACGTTCAGATCATTAATCAGGGGAACTTCGCAATTTTATAATTACAAAAAGATAATATACTAGTATTTCTCAAAATATAATTTATAACAATTTTTGTATTTTAATATACGAAATTCGTCGTACACGTATTACAGATATTTAAGAATTAGAAGGTACTACAACTTGCAAATTTGCACCATGTTTAAAACTACAATCAACGTACATTTTAGTAATTATATACATACAAAAAATTAATCACGTTATTTACCAAATACTCCAATATTGATTCGGAAACAAACATTTACAAAAGACTTATTTATAGATGTTGTAGAATCTTTCAAGGAGTTTAACGCATTTGGTAAGACTGATAATTTGCAAATAAAACCTCTAAATTACCGAAGGTTGAGATTTTCTTATGGAGCATAGGGATGTCAAATTGGCTCGGTAGCTCGGATGGAGCGAGCCTAGGCTCGGGCCAAACCGGATTTTGGGGCTTGGCCCCAGCCCGGGCAGGCCTGTGTGGTTTGCCGAGCCACAACGGGTTGGCTCGTGTCACGGGCCAAAATGGCCTATGACAAAGCTCGCCCAAATCCAAAGATGATGATGATGATGATAATAATAATAATAAATGTACACTTTACCCGGCTCATGCAGAAAAATCTCCAACTCCGGTATTCTTCTTATTGTAAAAATACTCTTCGTTCAGATACTATAAAATTATATAACAAAAGAAAACAAATTGTTATTGAAAGTCTAAAAACTTTTAATAGTGTTATATCATTTACATCTGATTTATGGACCGGTGGTAATAGAAAAAGTTATATTGTTGCTATGGCTCATTATATTGATCGCTTGTGACTTTTACATAAAAGGATTATTGCATTTAGATATGTACAATATCCTCATAATGCCACTAACATATACATAGTTTTAAACGATATCATACAGGAATATGGCATGCAAGATATGATTCAAAGTTTTACTTTTGATAATACTAGTCTGAACAAAGGTGTTATCGAAAGATTTATTAATGAACTTAACCCTTCATTAGGAACTTTATTTTTTTATCAACGTTGTGTATGTCATATTATCAATTTAATTGTAAAAATTGGATTAGAACATATAAATTTCCCTTTAGATAAAATTAGACAAGCAATAAATTTTATTAATGTGTCACCAGCAAGAAAATAAATATTTAACAGTTTGTGTGCAGAGTATGGTTTCCAGGAAAAATCATTTGCCACTAATATAACATATAGATGGAATTCTATATATCTTATGTTACATTCGTGTGAAAATTACGATAAAGTGATAGGCAAACATACAAATCCTAACATAATTTAGAAGATTGGGAATGGTCTCTTGCATTTCACGTGAAAAAATTTAAAATCTTTTTTCGATACTACAAAGGAATGTAGTAGAGTATATTACCCTACATCTTCACTTATTTTACAACATTTTTTCTGCATTTCACAAACATTACATAAATACAGGAATTTGCCCTTTTTCCGACTTAGTTTGCTCTATGGAGTTAAAATTTCATAAATATTGGGAAGAATTGCCCTATTTATTTATTTTAGTTTCAGTAATGGACCCTCGACTTAATTTGAATAGCACAATAACCACTGTAAAGGGGATTTCAAATTTCATGAATATGGAATTATCACATATGAATATAGAATCTACATTATCTTAAATGTATAATTATTATGCTGATAAAGAAGGCAATGTAGTTCTACTTCCCAAAGTTATTTTTCAAGAAATATTTCAACAAATTCAGAAAATTTATGAAATTTTTTGGAAAGCAATACAAGTGTTCCCTCGTTTAGTTCTAGTTCATCGATGTCTAGAGCGATAAATGTCGGTGGTACAAATGTTGAAATTCCCTCCGAGTTAGTTAGGTATATATGCGTGGACGTTCGCAGTGTGTTACCTGAAAAAGAATTATAGGAATTTAGTCTTCTAAATTGGTGGAGGTGTAATGAAAGACAGAATCGATTGTATCAAAAATTGCACGTGATCTACTAACACATCCGGTGTCTACGGTAGCATCGGAGGCTGCATTCAGTTTAGGTGATCGATTTTTATCAGACGAACATTCAAAACTAAAAGAAGATATATTGGAGACTTTAATATGCTTGAAAAGATTGAGAATGTGCAGAATTACGTGTTCAAGAACATGAGTCTGTTTGTGAGTGATTTTGAGAATTGATTTTTTAACCGTTATGAGAAAAATGAGGTCCACTTGTGAGAGAAAAAGTCAAATATGACGGATGAAATAGTGAAATAACGATCAAAAAATCAATTTTTTGGAAGAAAAAATCACTCCAGTATACTGGTCGAAGAGTTGCAGCAGATCCAAACATAAAATTTTGTAAGTTTTTAAAATAATTTATTTCAAAACATATGTAATTTTTAAATTTATTTGTTTCAAGAAAAATTGTATACGAAATATTTTATTCGTATACAATTTTAACTCCGCCTACGTCATGTAACCGATCTCAAGCCCGGAAAAAGGAGGAGGGTTGTAAGTTGCAATTTTTATTTCATTTGTAATGCAATTTATAAGTTGTAATTTTTATTTGATTTGTAACTCGTATAAATTATGCAATTTTTAAATCTTTTTAAGATAATATTAGATTCGTAATCTTGTTATTTAATAAAAAAAAATCGAGCCGGCCCGACTCAACAAAGTTGGAGCCCAAACCTCGAGCCGAGCCTTATTTTTTCGACTGAGTTTTTATTCGGCTCGACTTGAAAAAAGCTCGAGTCGAGCTTGAGTTTCGAATTTCGGCTCGTGAGCCGGCTCGACTTTTTAACATTCTAATGGAGCTTAATAATAATAATTCAAGAAAAGAGAAAATAAATGAAAAAGATAAAGAAAGAGCACCCATTGGGAACAAAAGAATGATGCTTTCTAAAATTCTCATGTATTAATTACTCTCTGCCCCTGCCAGCCAAATAGAAATTTTGGAAACCAGTTATCCGCCGATTGTATTTGATTAGAATTAGAATAATTCAGGTTGGGGCTGGAGATTCCACCATCAAAATAGAGAAAGATAAAATATGGTATCAACCGATGGATTGATGCCCATAACGAGGGCATTTCTTTCTTCTTACTACGATAAGTATCAGTTTCCTCCTCTCTCCGATGATGTTTCCCGTCTCTCCGATCAGATTCGTGCCATGTCTGCCGATCTGCTTCACGATTCTCCCGCTACACAAGGTTTTCATTCTTTCCTTTTTCCTCTTTTCCTTTTACTGGGATTTCTTTTAGATCGGCGTTTCATAGTTTGCCTTATGTATCGTGAAGCTTGATATCAGTTATCCCTTTTGGAGGACAGTAGGCATCCTCTTAGCTTTCATGTATTTTTAAGATTACTTCTATTTTCTTGCATACGCTTTGTTTAATTAATCTTTAAACTTTATTCCTGGAGTAAAAATAATAATAAATAATTAAAAATTGTACCTTGTCTTGAATGAACCATGAATTTCTAGCCTACTTAATTTATATTCAATGCCGTTTCAGGAGAAAGCTTATTGGTACAAGAAGCTGACCGCCAGCCTCCCCACAAAATTGATGAGAACATGTGGAGGAATCGAGAACAAATTGAAGAAATCATCTACCTATTGGAAGTCTCTCATTGGCCCAGCGTGGTGAGAGATACAATGGTTTCATACCTATCAAAAGCAATGAAAAAAATGCAATTAGTGCGGACCACTTAAGATTAGGCCACTTTTTGGTATAGATAAAAATCATATTTTTACTAGATTTTGGTAAAGGTTGATGGACTGTGTGGTTAAAAGTTATGGTTCCATGAATGTGGGGTTAAAATTGATTGTTTATTTTGACATATATTTTTAAAAACTTTTTTAGATGAACCAAATGGGGGCCAAATGTTCTCCATTATTTGGAATTTAAATCTTATGGTGGTCTAAGTGATAGTAAGATTCTTGAAACAATATCAAAGCACCTTAACATTCTTTTCTTTCTTTTCTTTAACTGACGGTGGACCAAATTTTGTGTTTATTAATTGAACACAGCTTCATCAACAGTCAACACTTGAAGATACTGAACTTCTCTCTGTTCTTGGGCATCTTGAAGGGAAATTTAGATCTACATTGAATACTTTGGAATATTACCAAGCCAAAAATTCTGAGCATGTATTTAACACAGGTTGGTTTTTGAAAATTCTATGGATTTTCCAGGAGATCAGAATAGGAAGTTTTTACCTATTAGCCAATGCTCTTAGCCTCATATAATATGCTTTGCTTCTGGATTCACTAATTGATATAGTATTAAACTTTTTTGTAAACTACTGTATAAAAAGCATAATTTTATGACTATTAGTTTGTGTATTGACCTATAATTATATGCTTATATGAGAATAGCATATATTTGGTCAATCTGGATTAGAGGTCCTTTTTGATTGCACAAAGACAGTGCCTGGCTTGACAAGCAACATTTCAGAAGAGGGAAATGCTATTTGTACAAAGGGGTGTCAACCCCGGTGTACAAGTAGCACAACCCTTCTGAAGAACCTTGCAAGGTGTTTTCTGTAAAGGACAATGTGAGGGTGGCTTTCTGTAGAAGCTTGATTTTGTTTCGTGAAATACCTAAAAATGTTGTAGAGGTCTTTGAAAGACATATTTTCCCTTGTAGAGTTTGAAACAAAAAACAATGATTCTACTCCCTTCGTCTGATATTGAACGTTTTATGAAGGCATTGGAAAAATGAGCATTTTGATATAATTCCTTACATTTACCTTTAAATCTAGTGGCCAAGAATCCTTGCAGGGACAGAGGCTTAATGGTGGTCTGACATGTACCTCTAAAAGATCTCTGTAAATTCAAGTTAGCGCCTCAAGAGTTCTAAAAATTACAAGTATTATGTTTAAATCATGCCCCCCACAAGCTCTAGACTTATCCTCTCTACCTATTGCTTTTTATGGTAAATACCTGACTCCTGGACCCCGTTTAATGATATGGCTTTCTGCTTTCCCTTTCTACTTTCAGAAAAAGATGTTCACCCCTTCATTTTCAGTGATCCATAAATAGAATGAAATAAAGTAAGAAGCACGTAGATTAATTGGAAAGCTGCATAAAACTTAAGCAATTTTTTAAACCTCACTGAATATTTTTTCGCCCGACCAACCTAAGAATAGGCTTGATCACCCAATAATTTCATTCCTAAATCTAAAAGATCCAGTAAAGAAATCAGATATTTCTGGCAAGAAGGACAAGTTTCGGGTTCATATAATGATAATTTCTTTTTGCTTTTAATTAACTGGTGGGTGGTGACAATAACCCTCAAACTGGCCAGTTTTTAGGCATGAATTATTTTGCATTTAATTAATTGGTGAGTGGTGACAATAATCCCCAAACTGGCCGGTTTTAACCTATTAGAAAGGGACCTCAGAAATTTTCTTTAGTGAGCTGAAACCTTATGCGAAGTTGGTGGATTAGAATATGATATGTGGACATGAAATAATTCATTTAATATAACATAGGTTGTGTCAAGCGGCAATGGATATTTATCTTCATATCCATTGTGGATCAAAACAATCTATTATAAGAAAGGGTCATTGTCTGGACATTATTCCTCCTTCCACCAATAAGCATGCTATCTGAAAGTATCCCTATTGGCATGATAGGAATTCAACATGTACAAAAATGCTAATATGAGTAAACATGGACCTATGCAAGTTAATGAAAATTTCAAATTTCTTGGAGTTTTTAGTTGCAAGAAAACACAAATGCAAAGCACTATTTCTGGAAAAATACCCACTCCTTTAAATACTAAAATAAATCCTCCAATTAGGTGCTTTGATTTAGAGAGAATTTTGTTTTATAAATTTAAAAGCTCTTGAAGCCTTCTGGATTGTGTGATGATTCAATTCTAGCCTTTGGTTTGATGCCTTGGGATTCTAGATGTGATGCCTGGTTTTCTTATTCCTCTTTTCGACTGTTTTAGATTAATTGTTTTCAGGAACCTTTCAGCAGCCCCACACGATAGCCACTAAATTTCTTTTCCTTGGTTTCTTCAGAGTCCTAAACATTTTCTCACTCAGTTCCTATTATAGATCTTTCCAACCCATAAGTGTTCAATGTTGTCCGTTTACTGTGAGTTGCAAAAAACTCCTTTTAGAAGTCCCTTCTGATGTGGGTTATTAATGTTTACACAAAGGCAAAAGAACACACACTTTTGACTTCCTTGGAAGATGTTCTACTTTCTTGGAAAGTCCATGGAACCAGCTTCTTGTGGAAGTCCTTGAAAACATATCCAGAAGTCGTACAGTTTTTTGGGAAATGCTTTTTATAGGATGATTTCTTGAGGTTTTAGAAAAACTACAAGCTATAACTTCAAACATGGACTCAGATTATGGCTTAAAATCGAACTCCAAAACTTGAGACCAAAAGTTGAGCAATGGATTCTACCATTGGAGATTGTTAGTAGTTATGGTTTTGATTAGTTTGGTACTTAGATTTAACCTCTGTTTGGGCTCCATTAAAAATAAATTTTGGAGAAAATGTATTTTGGAATAGTGATTTGGAGAATATTTAGTTAAAAAATAAGGAAAAATTTTGGGATTACATGCATTATTTTTTTATTGGCGAATGTGATTAAAAATAAGAGAGATACATTTTTGAAATAATGGAGCCCAAACAAGGGCTTATTTTTGCAGTAATTTCTTCTTAATTGGTAGCTGATATGCTATAGCTCTAAGTGGAATTACTTGGTTACTTGTAACTATCTTTTTGCCTTTTAGATTTTTAGTCACGGAGAACAAGTAGTTGTGAAGAAATTTGATTATTAAAATTTGAGAGGTTAAGACATACGACATGCTAGGTGATTTATGATTAATTAAATGTCTACAATGAGTTTTAAATTTGGTGCGGAGAGAAGGAAGTTGTTGTTGTATGATAAATGGGTCTCTCTATATGGTTACAGTTATGACCTATATGCCACAAGATTTCCGGGGTACTCTGATCAGGCAACAGAGAGAGCGTTCTGAGAAGAATAAGCAGGCCGTAATTGATGCTTTAATTAATTCTGGTGGAAGTATACGTGATCGATATGCTCTGCTATGGAAACAACAGATGGAACGGTGACATTCTATTCACATATTTCTATTCTCTGGAACTACTAATGACTGATTTACTTAATTATGAGTGAAATTCTCTTCATACAGACGGCAACAGTTAGCTCAGCTGGGTTCTGCAACAGGTGTCTATAAGACTCTGGTGAAATACTTAGTTGGAGTGCCACAGGTACGTCTTAATTGGCTTCATGGTGCATTGTAATGGATGTACATCTCCCTGGTGGTATCAAGTTCTTGGCTTTAACTTTTTAGCCTCTGCTTTCACGCCTGAGTCTTTACGCTTAACTATTGGTCACTTATTTTTTTGTCCCAACAATCATATTATTTGTGTTTCCGCTTCATCAAATTGATTAGTTGTATATTTGTTTTACAATATTGTAAGTGTTGCAGGTTCTACTGGATTTTGTTCAGCAAATAAACGATGATGCAGGGTATTATTGCTTACAATTGGTCACATTACTAGTTTTTCTTTCGCTCTTTCTTTTTTTCTCTTTTATTAGTGAGAACATATATTTCTGTGCACATTCTTTCAGTTTCAATTGATCATGTGATATCATGTAGTAATATGTGCCAATTTTCTTCTGGAAACAATGTTATCACTAGGCCCATGGAAGAGCAACGACAGCGTTATGGACCACCTTTGTATAGCCTTACCAGAATGGTGCTAACTATTCGACTTTTTCTTTCTCTTTCCTGGGGGCGTCTAGAAGCTAGTAAATTGTGAGCCTTGTTAAGATTCTTGTACTTTCAGATATTAACTTGAAAACAAACTGAAATGTTAATATTGCTTATTTGCAACCTGTTCTTATGAAGTTAGTGCATTTTTCACTCAGAGCTTTCTTCATATTTGTCCAATTAACAGGCAGAAGCACCAAATATCTATCTTGGAAGAAGCAGTTGATGTTTATACTTCTGAGTTTGAAAGATATGTCAAATTTATTGGGTACCACTTCTTTCTCCACTCTTGATTTTTGTAGTTATTCTCGAAAACATTTTAGTCATTGAACACTAGTTTCCAGTTTTGATTTTTATTTGGTGCTGCGATTAATATCTAACTTAATTAGTAGTGTTTAAGATCATCATATCCTTTCATGTGCCAGATTATATGCACTTCATCACTTTGATGTGTTCCTATCCCTAGTGGAGGGGAGTTCATCATCATCATCTATTTATTTATTTTATTTTATTTATTTTTTTTTTTTTGAGATAGAATTTTCTTTTCTAAGAAATTACGTATCTGTGACATGTTGGTATGTTGTAAAATCTTTGGATTTCTTTTTGTAGGATTTCCTCTCCTTTGATATTGATTAAAAAGAATTATTGATTATTTTATAAAATGTAGAGTACTGGGCTGAACATATACACAAGTGTTTACCTTAATTGTTGTTTTGACAATCTTTTAGTTGCACATCAATTGGTTGTTTTTGTGAAGGCACAAATGATACGCAGATCAGTCCTATTTTTTACATAGTTAAATGTGGCTTCATCAATCCTTCTTAGTTCTATTTTGTTGTACAGTGTTGTGATCTATGCTAATGTTTATCGCAATAGAGCTCAACGGGATCATGTTCTCCATTTTTAGTTAGTTCAGAATAAAATTTAAGCAATAGGACCTTACAAATTTAAGCCATGTACTGCAAATCAGCTTCTACATTTGATCTTGCAAGTTGCAACCACTAGTTCGTTTATGCTTCTCCATGTTATTAAATTGCATCCATGAACATGCAATATTCAGAAGCATACCTTCTGTCACTGTTTGAACATATGCAGTCACCATCTGCTTAGGCTTCTATGCCCAAGGGGCCATTCTTTGAGAATAGAATGCCCTTTTGGTCTTTTCCTTCGAGGCAGTTCAATATTCTACATTCATATGATCCTCGTTTGGAGTTTGCATATTTAGACTAACAATCCTATGCCAAGGACAATATCTGACCTTGTATGGCACAAAATAAATTAGTTTTCTTACTTATCTTTGGAACCTCACTTTGTCTATATCAACAACACGAGAACACTTGATGTGAGTACTTCAATTTGGTGGTTAAATCAGTTGATGTATCTTGTTCACGAAAATATCTTTTGAATTAAACTACCACAAGTGTAGGGTTTGTTAACAAGCAATAAAGTGAATTTGAATTCAAGCATCTTCCCACGGAGATTGATTTAGTTCGATTTTAATTATCACAACCTTAACCAAATTAAGAATAATAAAATGTGCTTGTTTGTGATAAAATTATATCTAAAAGCAGTTACTTATGCAATTATAAGTGAATTTAGCTAACTAAATGCAAATTATATTAAATGAAAGTTAATGTGTTTTAATGAATGATAAACACACTAGGATATCCCGAATTCCCATGTAATAATCCATTTTAACCTTAGTTCTATACTTTGAAAACACAGTTGAATTTTGAAAAATCAATATTCCTATTATATTCAACAATCTCTCTTGAGTAATATTAAACTTACTCTCATGTGTGGCCCGATTACATTTCTATGACGGATGTGAACATGCAAGAGTGCATAAATTTTTATGATCACTGAAAGATTTACATAGAGTATAATGGTATATTTCTATCCTTTATCAGACCATATGATGATTTACACTATGTTGAATTTATATTCTTTCTTCGAGTGCATAAAATAAGTCACCACATTCACACAACTACCGTGCACAATAATTGTGGAAAAAAGATAATCATATATATCATTCAATATCCAAAAACGTGTTTTTGATGTCAAATATATAAAACTAAAGATTAAAAATTCATATTACACACTTCATTGTTTTCCTAGCTTAAAGAAATCTAACCTAGTATGTTATGAAGAAAAAAAAAAGAATTATATAGAGTAGGCATCATCCAAATTATGAATCTTGATTAGATGTTGATGTTGTGGAATCTCTCCTCTTGTTTCTTGCCATCTTCTAGTCTCTCTAATGTGTGGTAATGACTTATGGACTGTCATTGGTCTTTAAAAGAAGTCCCAAATCATGTTTCTATAAGGAAACCAGAATTTTTCCTCAAAAATGTACTATGCTATAGCATGTACAATCGCATGCTATAGCATAGTTTAATGAAATTCAACCCTGGACTTCCCTGAAGCATGTCATGCGATCGCATGGTGAAAATAACTATGCTATAGCATAGTTCAAGTAAAATTTCATTCTTTGAGTTTTGGTCCCCGAACTTCGTTTTCTCATTTCTTGACCTCTTTTCTCACTTCTTCTTTCAATATTTATGTTTTCGCTAAATTGGTCTTCAACTCTTTCACATCTTCGTTTCTTCTTCTGGATCATCATTTGGCTATTGTAGTTTGGTCCCTAAATTTTGATTTTCTTTCATTGTAGTCCTATTTGCTTTTTTTTTTTTTCCCCTAAACTCTACCATATTCATCAATGATGTCCTGCAAAACATAATTTATTTACAATTAAGCCTTATTCCAATATATCTACCAACAATTATAAATGTTTTGTGGCCTAAATAAGTGTGTAAAACGCACTTATCATATTTCTTTGATTTCTCATTAGCATATCATATCTTTAAGGCCATTAGAATATTATTGAAATCTGTTGGCATATCTCCTTGGTAACTTGAGTTTGTAAGAAATACCTTAGGCTCGCTAGATTCTTGATCACAAATTCTTAGCAAGGGAATTCTCAAACTTCTAATATATGCTAAATTGTTACTGACTGACCGCTCTCCACAGTGTACTTTCCATCTCAGAAGAAAATTGAATTTGTGTGGGATAATTCGTATCAGTTCCACAGTTAGTAAACAGCATGTTTGGCAAAGCTTTTGGTTGATTATAAGTGGTGGGTTCTATGAAATATGTGGATAAGAAGTGGATAAAAGTAAGTAAAAGTTATGGTTCCTACAGAGAATTTATGAATAAAAATAGAGTCTAATCGACTTATAAGCAATTATAAGTTTAGGTCAAAATGCACCTAGTGACTTTACCTCCTCACTATGCTCAAAAAATGTTATGATCAGTTTGTCTTTGCATGCACCCTTTTTATAAATGGACGCTGAAGTTTTCTAACGAAGCCTGGAGGGGTTACATCAATGTATAAAATTAATATTTCTATTTGCAAACTTTTTTCATTCTAAGTGTTTCTGGAGTAGACCTAGATCCTCTTGTGACACCTAGAGGGATATGAGAATAGAAATGGGAATGTGCTGATAAAAGAACGATTTTCTTTATCTCGTGACTGCCACTCAGTTCTTTAGGGGACTTTGATGATTATAAAATATTCTTGAACCATGTCTTTCCCTTTAGAGGTTGACTCACGAAGGGAGAATTTCAAGGGGTTGGGACTTGGGAAGGGGGGGGGGGGGGGGGGGGGTATTGTCCATTCGAGACAATGGAACGTACCTGGCTTTTTGGTTATAGAGTGTAAATCATGTATTGACCAGCCTTGAGCAGCTGAGATATTGAACAAGGAACATTCGAAACAATTACTTGCCTAACCTGAGATGAAAGATTATAGTATGGTATTGTCAGATCCGAACATTAGGGGCTACTTTATTTGTTTGCCATATCTTCGCTAGGTGAGGGCAGATATGACTCATAGTTGATTAGAAGATGAAAATACTGAACTTTTTGATTGATACAGGTCATCAATGAGGTGAACCAACATTGTGTGCATGAAAACTGTTTGTAGCTCACTGAAGTCCAGAAAGAAAAGAGAAGATGAGTGCGCAAAGTCAGTCTTTTTGTCAACTCCTGTATCACGTGTCATGTATAACATCACATTTTTTGTAATTTTTCTTAATGATGAACTTTAAGTTATGCATACTGCTAAATGTGATTTTGGTGGTTTTCTCCTGGTAAGTCATAAGCTGCCTGCCTCCCTTTGGTCATCAGTTCACCAGTGCTCATTTTGTAAATCAATTTTATAGAAAGAAGAAAAAAATTGCATAGTAACAGAGAATGTTTTAGCATTATGAGAGGAGTCTCTACCTGCGAAAGGAACAAGTTTTTTTATCATTTCATTGTTCATGCATTGATTTGTATGTCTGTTTTACAGAGAGGTTTTTGCAAATTCCCCGTTTTTTATTTCGGCAGAGGATGCTGGTGCATTAGAGGCGAGGTGTGTCCAGAAAGCTCCTTTGCAGCTATCATATATTGAACCTGTAACTGTGCAAGAGGGTCTAGAGTATTATTATTCCTTTAGAAGCTCAGTTATTTTTGTTGCCATAAATTTTAAAATTCTTAACTTTCTCTGAAAACCAGGACCACCGATGATATTAAGGAAATCAGTGTTCCGGCAGGGCAGACATATGAGGTTCGTTTTTAATATAATCATTTCTGGTTTGAATCTGTGTGTTTTGGCAAAAATGTATTAATATGAGAGGAAAATTATATCTTGCATCAATTTGGTATCAGAGTTCAAACCATTTTCTTTAAACAACACATATTAGCCATTGTGTTTCACAAACCTTGACCATCCACCAGTTTCTCCAATCCACACACACCACTGCCTTCCGTCAGCTACCTAATATCCTATAACCACCTTTGACCAAAACACCAAGCAGAAAGAAAGGGCACAGCTGCAGACAAATTTTTTTCGTTGTTTTTGTTCTTAGTTGAGGAAAAGAATTCTATAAAACAATAGTCGTAGTACTGTTCTTATTGCTGCTCTGCTCTTTCAATATTTACTGCAAACCCTACCCAACACATTTACAGGCCCATATCCAGTGTTCCATCCCTACAAAACCAAATCAGCCTGCTCCTAACTCATATATATATCAACAAAACAATCCACCTAATAAGATGACAGGCCCATATTAGCCACTTACCTCATAAACCAAAAAAATACCCCAACCCTAACCCATTTAAACCCATATTCACCCAGCCATATCTTAATCGTAGCCCAATTAACATTCCTTAACCCAAACCTTAACCCAGCTACACACAGAGACCCAACTTCTATAGCCCGTAACTCAGTCCATATCCATAGCCATAGCCAACACCACTTCCTCTCATCTTCTCAAACCCTAAACCATGCTGTAAATTACACCTGTCGGCACCAACATACTCTTCCCTCATTGATATGAGCATAATCCACCACAAACTCAACTACCAGAAAATCAGATCTTCCATTTTTCACTACTGTTGAAATCGGACATCCATTTTGTGTAGCATTGATCTCCTAGGTCAATGTCCTGTGACTGTGGAATTAAATGAAACGGATATTAAGTAACAAATTTGCTCCTGTATATCATCAAACTCAATTGCTAGATCAGTTCTTTTTGCATTGTAGGCAAGGTACATCCACTATCAGGGGATGTCTAGCACACTTCGAAGAGAAATTGCATGGTTGTGATATTTATGAAGCCCCCACATTACAGCGTCTAGGTTTTACAATGGTTTTAATCCTGAACTCATACATCATGAACATTCTTGCACCTTAATCCATAGATGAAGCTTACCGTCAAGCCAACCTATGGGATATATCCTTCCAAATTCGCTAAGCGTGTCATAAGCTGGGTCTATTATCCCAATCCCGACAGTCACCTCTCGAGTCTAGTTGCTGGTCTCGTGGAAGATAATGAGGCAATCATTGTTGAGGATAAGGAATTATCTATAGAGTTGCCACCTAAGTTAAATAGTCCACTGTCTTCGATTTCATGCCGAAGTTGTTCTTGCCTAATCCTTTTGAGTAAATGTAAAGTTTCCTTTGATATGACTATTCCTCCAAGTTGTGATACTATATAAAGGGTCTTTTGAAATCGTTTTTCAGGATGTAATTCACTACCTTTGATTATGAAATAAATTGTATTTCTTCACCAATCTCTCTCTCCCTCTCCTTCCCTCTTATCCCCCTCCTTTCACTTCTTCACTTCCCTTTTCTTTTCCCTTCTACATGTACTTCTCTTATTGTATGCTGCGTCAATGACATTTATGAATAGCAGTTTTGCTGATAGATGTTTGACACATTATGGAAAGATAACTAAAAGGTGGCTCTCTCCAATTCATCCTAAAATTTTTGTATGAAAACAAATCTTCAGAGCTTAGCCCATGGTTATAGGTGACATGATTTCATTACTACAACGTTCCAAAAAGTGGTCTTTCAATTCAAAAGTTTAGAAGGAAAATAGAAATATGTAGAATATCAAAATCCTTGGTAAAACATCGTGCAAAAGGAATGTAGTAGTTGCAAATTTGTTTTCATGGTGTGTGTGTACGCTTGCCTACAGGTATTTCTTGTTCATGTTTGGTAAGATGCCAAATTTAGGCATAGGTCATTCCTTTTGACATGTGCCTCTTGTCAAATAATTTTTGTCGGAAATAGCGTTTAGAATTCAAGCATTGAATCGAGTTTAATTAATTTTAGTTTCTTTTCTTTTAGTAAATTCAGGCCTTCTTTTCCTCTGTGTTGCACAGATACTTCAACTACTGTGGCATGTTCGTGTCTACACATTAGACGTGTCGGATATCAATACTTCTCGAACACTCTACCATTTTCCTTTTTCTTTCACTACCATCTATAAACTAACTTGAAGTTATTATTAAATGAAAAATAGATACTTATATTTAAAATTTCTACAAGAAAAATTAATAAGAAGTATAAAGAAACTTAATTTGGCTAGTTACGCCTCACCACATGGAGAAACGAGAACCTACTTGAAGATTACCTTGTACCTATAAGGTGAGAATTGTGATGGGGACAATTTTGGGGCGATATTATTTGGACATCATCAGTGTAAAAATGAAATCAGAAGCGTGCTATTTATGTAACATCCTGTTGGGATCTATATTTTTCTTGAAAATAAGATGCATACACATAACTGACATCGGTAAATTGCTTCCCTTTAAACATGACGTATACAACCAAAACTTGCACATTGACAGACATGGGATTCCTTGTATTAGAGTGGGTACCTCCTATCTGTACACAAGCTCTATACTAGAAATAATAAATCAAACTATAATGAAACAGTCAGTTATAATAAAGCATCACTAATAATTCTCTAAAGTCATCAAATTAGCTGAAGATTCTGTCACTCCCCCTCAAACTAGTGATTTAATGTTGCGCATTCCAAGTTTGCCTATCAAATCTTCAAAAACAGAAACTGAAACTCCTCTGGTGAGAATATCTGCCAACAATTATAGAGTTGTCCATAATAGGGTTGAGACCTGCAATTTTCAATTTTTTGTTTGATGAAGTACTTCCACTTCAGTGTGCTTAATGGAATAGTATTGGATGGGTTGTCAACTATAGTCATTTACACCGTTATTATCGCTGAACACTTACGTAGGTGAAGTTAGTTCTGGCTGTAGTTCTTTTAATAGCATTTGGATCTATAGAACCCCCTCATTTCTTGGAGCATAGCTTTGTATTCAACTTGTGCACTAGATCTCCCAACCATCTTTCATTTCTTGCTGCTCCAAGAGACTAGGTTCCCTCTTACGAGAATATGGTAACCGGATCATCTGTAACTGAACTAGTCCTGTCTGCATCAGTATAAACTTCACCATGAACTAACTGTAGTTCTTTTAATAGCATTTGGATCTATAGAACCCCCTCATTTCTTGGAGCATAGCTTTGTATTCAACTTGTGCACTAGACCTCCCAACCATCTTTCATTTCTTGCTGCTCCAAGAGACTAGGTTCCCTCTTATGAGAATATGGTAACCGGATCATTTGTAACTGAACTAGTCCTGTCTGCATCAGTATAAACTTCACCATTAGATAGTCAAAATTTTCAAATAGGAGCCCTTTTCATGATGCAACTTGTATGTATATGAGAATCCTTACAACTACCTCTTAATTACACTCTATGATGCACCGATACGGGCACGTGTGTCCGACACGATACGTATCCGACACGTGATTTTTCAAAACAATACCGACACAATACTTCATTGACACGTTCATTAAAATCTTTAAAAGTCTTCATTTATATAGTATAAATTTAATTTTACACTTGTTATTATTATTATATTTTTTTTTGTTAAAATCCTTTAAATATGAGTACCTATTTGTTATTTATTAATAAGTTTGAATTAAAAACATATATTTTTTTAATAAACAATGAAAAATGTTTATGGTAGAGCTTCCGAGGAATGTCAATATCGACACGTGTCGGATACGGGCACGCTATCCTAATGAAAGTGTCCGTGCTACAAAGATTACACTCCATGGGAGAGTTCTCAAATTGACTGACCACTTTTATTGCATGAGTGATGTTAGATATCACCCAACTAAGTCCCACTAAGAACTCACTTGGGTTAAGGATTTGTTAGCACATTTCGTCAAAATCCAAAATAACCCTGCTTTTGTGAAACAATTGAACAGATTGAGGCCACTTGGGGAAAAACTTTCATTGTGATGGTGTTCGTTGGCTTTGGAACAATATCCTTGCTTCTCAATCTATGGTTTGGATGCTGCCTAGGCGAATAGAGGACGTATTGCAGGCATGAAGGAGAAAATTTCGTGATAAGAATAGTAAATTTGTATGGAACCCCATTCCGGGATGCATTGCATGTTGTGTTTGGAGAGAAATGAACAAACGCTGTTTCGAAGACTAAACAAAGACAACAGCGTAGATTAGAGAAATGTTTTATTTGACTTTGTATAATTGGTTTAATACCGCGGCTAAAAATCTTGTAGAAGGGTTGCCTATTGTCATGTTGTTCCCCTCTTGTTTAAAGTGATAGTACACATCCCATGTAATCTCTTTTAATTAATAAAATTTTGATCACCTATGAAAAACAAAAACAAAAAAAAAAAAATCAATCACAATAAACCTAGCTAATAATTCTCTAAAGTCAACAAATCAGTTGAGCTTTTAACAAAAAAATAAAGCACTTCTACTAGTGAAGTCTATACCTTGCACAAAAATGAGATATTTGGGAAATCAGCTTTTAGCTTCTCAAATATTATTCCCTTGAGATGACCTGATGTCTTCTGCCATTTTATTTTATTTTATTTTATTTTATTTTTTTTTTTTGGGGGCAAAATTATGTCAGTATGTCTGCATAAATGGATTGCACATCTGCTTTTCCTACTTATATATTTGGTTTGGTTGGAGCATAAATATATTTTGTGTGCGCTTTTCTGGCTATCTTCTGTTCTCCTACACTCTGTAATATTATCTCATTATTTGAATGATTATGCTTGTTCTTCTAGGTATCCTTGACAGTGGAGTCTATAAATTCGTACATTGCTTGGGATTTCTCATTGGTGCAGGGCAAATTGAATTTGGTATTTTTCTTAAATCTTCTTCTATCTCCATTTTATAATTCAATACTACAGGTAAGGTTTGAAGATGTAAGTAGTGCATAGATATTTATGTATAAAATAACTTGGATAAAATGCTCAAAAGATAAAGAATTTTAGGTGGTAAGAAAATTATAATTTTTTCAATAAATTTAAATGAAGGGTTTCAAACCCTAAACCTTCATCCGACCTCAATGTGTGAGTCTGTAGTTAACTGTGCCACAGGCTTTGACAATAGCTTTATAGCAATACATTTTATATTCATATTGTGTTCGACCAAATATATAGGCTCCTCGCTAATATTTACTATAACCTGTTAAAAAAAGGCAATCGGAATGTAGTCCAACATTTGTGGTATTTGAGGCCTGCATATTCAGAGTCCTTTGGGTCAAGTGCACAATAATTTTTGCTTCTGCACAAGTAATTTACAATTTCTGGACTAAACTCACATTGTATCCAGTCTTTTGATTACAAATGTGTAGTTGCTGCGGCGTGTAATGCCAGATAAATCTCTTTTATGAATGACTTGATGCATTAACGCTAGGGTGTTTTGATTTCTTTAGGATTCAAAATATGACGATTTGTTGATAAGAAATAGCATATAATGTTCTAGCGACTTTTAATCTGTTGCTTGATCCTTGTATATCTTTCTATATTTCTTGTAGAGTACATCGCAGCAATATTATTGGTAGTTACAAAACTTGACATTCAATGGCAATCACAAATATATGATCATTCTTGTTTTACCTGCATTTGTACGTCAATAGATCTTCATGATTAAGCAGATTCATAGTATAAATTTCCTTTTAAAATTTATATTCTAGCAGGATATTGGATTCAGCGTGGAGTGCACAGAGCCTTCTGGAAAAAAAACAGTAAGCTCTTGAAGTTTGTGCTCCTAAATTTTTGCCATATTACATTATAAACCATTCACGCTTGCATTCTACAGCAGCCTCTTCTCAAGGAAACAAAAATGAAAAAGGAAGAGGATTTTTTTTGTTTAAGCATTCTGACCTCTGTTTTTGGTTTTTATGTTCACGATTGAGTTATTGTGTTGCATTATCCACAGCTGATCTTACCTTACCGGCGTTATGAATCTGACCAAGTGAGTTATTTATTTTCTTCGATTCTTTACAATACAGATGGGATTTCTTGACTACTGACTTCTTATTTTATTATGTTTCTTGCAGGGTAACTTCTGCACATGCGTGTCAGGAAACTACAAACTCATCTGGGACAATTCGTATTCAACCTTTTTTAGGAAGGTAAGTAGATGAATTTAAATTAAGTCTTATCTCTTAACTCTTAAGGGGATTAATATTCAGTGGATTGTGATAGTTGGGATTGTGATAGTTGCATATTTGGATTGTTGAATAGCCTCTTCTGAGTTGGCGAGTTATTGCTGGTGAAGAATAACTTATAGTCAGATTGAAATCAGAATTACATTTGAATCATAGTATTTTGGGGCAAGGAATATTTTTAAGAAATATCTGTGGGGTTCCACCCAGATACAATTTACACACAGATTATGAAATCATCTCTGGAAATTTGTTAATGGGTACGACTATATCTATACAGTGAACTCCTATTCTGTGCTAACACCCAAAGTAATATATATCCTCTAAAATGATAGAGATCCTTTGCAGAAACCTAAAAATTTAATAAATATATCTATGTTGCTATTCAGTTCCCATAATTTTCTTTGTTCTTATTCATAGTAGCCGAATCATTAGATCTTTTGATCTCTTAACACTGGCTCAACTTGGCTCCCTTGTCAATGTCATTATTTTCTGCTTTCGTAAAATCATTATCCACCCCTAAAATTATCCTCAGTTCCATAATTTTTCATGTTCTTCCATATTTCTCATATTCAAGGCACTTAATTCAATGCAATTCAAGAAATTCCTGGAAGACTTGAAACCGCGTTATTGGGATCTGTTCTGTTCACTGTGATTTACTTTTCTTTCAAAAAGTCTTTAAATGGTTCGTTGTGATGTTTAGCATCCTGCTTAGCCTCATATATGGCTTCATGCATATTTTGTTTGGCATTACAGTCGGGCGGATTTAATGGGTGGCGAGCTAGGGCGGCCGCCCTAGCTGGATTCGTCGGGAAGGAATTTTATTTTTTTTTGCTCAAAATAGATAAAATTTTTAGATTATATATTTGCTAATTCATATTATTGACAAATATCTTTAGTAGCTCAACTAGTTAGCCTTGTCATTCTTGAATAATTTTTACCAAAACAAATACAAGAAATTTGATTTGAACCTACTACCTTCCTTAAACATATTGACCAGTTTACCGTCGTGACATTTAATGATTTTTAGCATATAATGTAACAAAATAATATATGTTCAATTGTATGGGTTTAATGCAAGTAGAAACATTTTATCCGGTGCTTTGTCACTCTTCTTGATTTTCTTTTTATTTTTTTCCCCTCTAATCAATTGATTTGAAACTTCGGTCAATTAATGATGGATGAATTTGTAGGAAAATTGGCCTTAGTCATAAGAAATATTTCGACAAAACTTATTTAATTAATGAAGGATTCCACTTTTTGTTCACAAAAAAATCAATTGCGAAAAGTAGAATCATATAAGCGCATAAAATTGATATAAGCACATAATGTTAATATAATAATGCTTGTTTAGTTAACTTTAATTGTAAATTGAATATTGACATTTTGTTAATATATATATTGCTTATTTAATGGAAAAATAAATTCAGGCATTTTGAAAATTATGGAACAATTTTTTCATTCAAAATAAAAGTTCGTACTTAGTTCTAGTTCTAGTGGCATATCTAGTTCTTCTAGTTCTAATCCATACGATTTTTTGAATATATTTAATTAAATATTAATAAAAAATCTGGCTATCATGGACGTTGGCCGTCGATAGTAAGCTTTCAACACTCGCGGTCCGCCCTAGCTGAATTCGACTCCTGGATTCGTCCCTGATTACAGTCAAAAAAACTTGTGAGTAATCCCCAGGAAGAGTTGAAAGCATATTATTAGGGTTTCTTATCTTCAGCGTGGTTCAACTTTTACGCAAAACTGTGACTGGTTCTTCATGATGAATAGTTTCATGCTTCACGTGTTGCTAGTCTTACCATCATAAAAAAAAATCCTTTACGGTCTCTTTTTGTGTTTCCCACATTATTCAAAATTTGATGACCAATCGTTGTTCATGTTATCTCATGTTTATCATAAAGCTATAGCATTGCTTTTACGCATGTATTGATTATTCCATGTATCCCCAATTATTTCATGTTAGGAGTGTAATGTTCTGTACTTTTCGATATAATGAAAGATAAGAAATCAAAGAGAATGAATTCTAACGACATTGCAATTTGCAGTGTTTTGTTCTTGTGTAGAGTATATGCAGGTTTCTGTAGGTTGAAATCGTGCCAGCGTAGGTTTTTCAACTTTGTCAGTTATTGTTTATTACATAAGAAGTTTTAGCTTGTCAGGAATTGGTTTGGTTGCATTTTCACCTACCTCGTCTCCTTTTAGAAGCTTTCATAGGCATCTGTACCCGTTTTTGGTAGCTTCCATTTTCAGAAGTATTACACTGACACAGCACACCAACATGGAAAATGTTGGGGAAGTTAGTCATTTCTCGAGCACCTAACGTTGTTTACAACCACCTTCGTCTTAAGCCAAGGTGTCATATTCCCTAAACATGTTTTGAAGTGATTTTGGCATTGTAAAATATTTTGTTTTGAGATGTACCTGCTAATGGACATACGGACTTATCATTCTTGCATCAGCTTTGGAAATAGATCCTCATAGATTGATTTACTAATTAAATTTAAATATTGGATTGGATCAATTATGTTTTTTTTTTTTTAAATCTGATGTGTGGCTTTGGTTTGAGACAGGTTCTGCGTTACAAGGTGGACTGTATTCCTCCAGTGGCGGAGCCTGTGCCTGTACCTGTACTGACAGTTGATCAATAGAATGCTGAAAAAATCTACCGTGAACTCTAATGTGTATCCCATCAGCGCCTTTCCTGTTTCTTTCAATTGTTACTCTCTGCCCTGCTTACCTCACCTTATGCTGGTGAAATGGGTTTGGTGTGGATATTTCATGTTTTACATAAAGCGTGTTATTCATTGATGTAAAAGGTTACAAAATATAGTGGTAAGAAGGTGTTACGAAGGATATGTGAAATATGGACGTTCTCACGACTATTTCCAGTTCTAAGGGTGTAATATTTATGATGCAAAAAGATTCCTGCATATTCATGCAAAAACATGATTGATAAGGAAGAACGTGTGTATCCATCAAGAGAAAATAGTTGGGATTTGATATTAGGCCCTGTTTGATTGCAACATTTTCCATGGAAATGTCACATTCAAGGAAAATAATTTTCACTTTGACTGTTTGATTCGCATGAGGAAATGGAATTCAAATTTTTATGTGCAATCATTTAAAGCACGTATTTGGCCAATTCCATGGAAAACGAATTTTTATGGGTGTGGTGGTTTTTTGTTTTTCAATTTAGGTGGAATTCCTTTTTCTTTTCCTCCTTCGCAGTCAAACGGGGCTTTAGAAGCAATTCTATGTATAACTAATGGTAATCATCACCAACTCAATTGACCAATGCGTTCTTATTTATTGAACTGAGGTCGATGGCCACTTAAACATGGAATGTGATGATCACCACTGTTGATAGTGTTATATTGGTGTTACTCAAGTCTGTGGCACCAAGTGATATCAAGCACTTATTTGGTTGGCTAAAAATTAAATTTTTGGTAGATTTTTGTAGAAGACGTGGCATAGATGATTAGGTGTTGATGTTATGCTAAAGAGAGAATGAAGTTCAACCTAGCCTGTGTTTTTCTACTTACCGAGGTAAGGCATTATGTCCCTTTCATTGTAATTCATTGGTTACTAACCTATGCGCAGGGTGCAGTGTCAGACTGTCGATTTTTGTTTGAGTATGCATATAAATCACAACTCAGATTTTAAATACTCAGATGGGTTGTAGGGAAGAAGAAAATTAAACCAATATCTGCCATGTAAAGGCAGGCTTTCACCCACTAGTGAAACACAATTAATGTTGAGGAAAATGCTCGATTAAAGGCAGTACAAGTAAATGTCCAATTTGAAAATTCAAGTTGGACAGAGATGACAGAATAATTTAAGTTGAGAAGTTATAACCCGTTGACGGAGGCTGAGCAAAGGGCAGTGATTATAGACATAGGTGCACACAATCATGTGTATATATAATAATAATAATAATAATAATAATAATAATAATTGAAGGTCAAGACCCCTCTAAGGACGCTGAAGACGGCATAGCATTAAAAGCACTCACGTCCAAATCTAGGCCGCGTTTGGCATAAAAGAAAACTATATATGTGTCTTAACGAAAATTGTAGCAAAATAGTATGTAGCGGAAATCTCTCGATAAATCTTGATTTCGGGCTCAGAAAACAACAAAAGAACACCAGTCTACCTTGGTTCGACCCGAAACTTTGGCCTTCACTTTGGACTGTTCTCTTTCTCTCTAACCCCACAAAGGAGAAGGGTGATGGTGTTAGCAATCCACAAAAGTATAGAGAGGAAGAAGGAGATATTACAATGGTTGAATCTTACTCACAACCTCGCATGACTTCCCTCTCTCTCAGCTGCCTCTCTTCTCTCAACTCTTCTCTCCATTGCTACAACACACATACACACACACCAAAAACGGTTGGGAGATAAAAACATATATAAAGGTTAGTTTAGGTCACTCTAATTGGGCCTAGGATTAACTAAATGGAATACCAATTAACCTAAACTAATGAGCCAATATTCAACTCCATATTAATCACTAAATGGTCCAACTAACCAAATAATCATCCAACCCAAATCCGAACCATCCAAAAATGTAGTTCATCTCCGACTCGAGCCAAGTCCATGATGTCGATAAATAATTCGACAACTGTTTTAAATCATCACCCGGATTATTGGGTATTAAAAAACCCAACACAGTACAATAAATTACTGTTCAATTGCTTGATTCTCCGGAAAGTTGAAACCTAGTGAATTAGTTTCACCACCTCGTGCTCATGGAATCTCCAATTACATGTACCAGTTGCATCAGTATTCAGAACCTATGCAAAACACATGTAGTCTAGAATTTAGAAAAAATCAAAAGTCTCTATATTCACTGTTGAGTTCTTGGAAACTCTAATAGAAAGCAAAGCAATATATTAGTATTAAAACCACAATACAACGGAAACTTCCATTATAGAGTCAAAAAGAATAACAAATGATCACCTAACTCTATAAATTACATCGAATATCTTTCCAGGATGTTCTAATGATACTGTACATTAAAATCATTCATAAAAAACAAACAAAATAGTCCACTTTAAGCACATAAAAGATGAAATGAAAACCCGCACTGCATAATGTAGGACCCTAATGCAAATCCTTGAGTTCTTTCAATATTTATTTCGACGCCATAAATTAACCCTTTTAACTGACCCAAGAACGTTAGCCAAATCACTAAATTAAGAGGCATGAATAATATCAAATCTAAGACGCATGTTGACCTCGAGAAATGGCCAACAAGTGTTCGGCCACGTTCCGTTTACACCTGCACACGGAGCACTCCGTTAGAAGGCAAAGGTCACCGGCCAAGAAAAAGGTCCGACGATCATTTGCACTCCGACGGTCAAGTCAATGGCCGAACGAAAATATATATATAGATAGAGTACAATAGTTGGGGGAGGGGGAATTTGGCTAAGGTTTAGAAAATCATCTTACCTGGAAATGGAGTGAATTCTCATATATATAGACAAATGAAATGGGCCAAGTACTTTAATGGGCCTAAGTCCAAACCCTACATCAGGAGTTTTTATATGCATTGTTATGGATACCTCCGCAAGCACTTCAACGGGACCTCTTAGGGCCTCAACGGTATCTTTGAAGGCACCTCGATTGCCTCTTGAGAGCCTGGGTTGGACCACTTAGGGTCTCGGTGGACATCCTTGAAGGCACTTCAACCATCTTGATAGGCACCTCGGCAGGAACTTCGGCCATCTTTGGAGGCACCTCGTCTTATTTCTTGGAGAGCCTCGGCTTGGCTTGGTAGGCACCTCAGCTGGCTCCCTTGAGAGCCTCAACTGAATTAGTGAATTATCACGGTGCCTCCACGTGGCATTTCATATTCGACCAGCAACAGGGCATATATCCAAAATATTTATCAATATCACATCCTCATATCATCAAATTCAAACCTAATAAATCTAATAGATTCTTCCAAATAACAAGCACAAGACATAATTAACCATCATTACATGACAAACAAGATCATTTCAGAGTAGCAAGTTCTATCTACTTTCAATGAAAAAAGAACAAATAAATTTCTGATTAGAAAATCCTTACTTTGTTTTTGACATAACAATTAAAAGAAAACTATAATTCCAATTTACTTCAGCTAAAAATTTCTATATAATTTGCATGCAAGTAAATTATAGACAGACAGCAATAATTCCCATAAAAAAAGAAGTGAAGTAGAAAAAACATCAATATATAATCACAAAAATAAAAAAAAAGAAAAGAAAATTGCGCTCAATAAATAGATTGAAAATATCACCAAAATGATCGATCAAGTACTTAACTCACAGTAGCTGCGAAAAATGCCTTCTTACCGATATCTAATAGAACAATCATCATCAATTACTTCGTAAACCCCTAATCAATTTTTAAACAAAAGAATAGGAAAAAACTCAAAAGAAATAAGTAATCAATAGGTATTAACAGATTTTGTCTCCGGCCCTGAATAGTCGATAAAACAACCAAGAACAGATATCAGAATCAAGGTCCCAATAGCAGTCGCCACATACGACATGGTGCATTGGGCCTTGAACCTCTTGAGCCTCAACTGCCATCGTCACAAGAATCCTAAAAGCAATAATATAGATAGACAATGCGAGTACACAAAAGGTCATTATTTAATGTAATCAGACTCCAGAACTTAAAAGGCATAAAAGCATATTAATGGTGCAGACATGTGTTAGCACACATCTGAATGTATATGTGAGGGTCAAATATCGAAAGAACACTTATTCTAGTCACATCTATGCTATTGGTCGAGAAAACATAAATGCACAAGTATGCAAATCGTTGTGTCCGTGTAGATAAAGAGAGCATTTGAAGTTTCATAAGATGATATGAAATAACTTAGGAAAAATTAAAAATTGGTCATCTCCGATTAAAACTTCCATGTCATGCTTAAAATAGTTTGTGCTTATGTGAAAGTTTCCTACAAATTATAAAACTATTAGAAAACTAACAAGCATAAATTTTGCTATTGAATGGAAAAGTTTCTATCAGAAGTGTCTCTGTGTGCGTGAGAGAGAGGAATGAGTTAAGAGTCCCTGCTCGGTAAATATATAATGCACTAAAGCAAAGAGCGCCTAATTATTTTTAATTGTTGATAATGACAAGTATGTGCGAGTTTAAGAAGTTCAAAATTAACTCATCAATGTTGCGTATAAAGGATAAGACAGCGAGTTATAAAAAGCCGTCTCCACATCCATTATCAACTAAACCCCATCCTTTAGCAGTTGAACGATCTCCTGTACATATGAATTCATAATACAACAAAAACTATACGTAAATTCTAAAGTTCACCAACCAATGTGATTAAGAAAATCAAATACTCAGCTAAGAGATGTGAATAATCACTTCAATTTGATAAGTCTCTTTGTCAAATGACCAACATCTCAAGAAGGGGATAAAATACCATTATAAAAGCTCAAAGCAATCGATAACTCGCTTAAAAACTTCAAGCTGTCTGATATGTCAGCTAAATATGTGAACAAAAGAATAAAAAAAAATCCAGCTACAATAATGCAAAAAAGATTTTTCATGAAAATATAACTCACAATATAGTGCAAAAGAAGATGGAAGAGAAAGCTCTTACTTCGACAAAGTTCTCCCCCGATTCAACCGGGATGCCAGTGCTCCTCTATTGCTCACCAATAAGCTTGATTAGGTCTTCTGAAGGAAGAGATCTCGGATGTTGACCATTAATCCACATTTGAAGTTAAGAAAATATATTCAGTGCGAGAATAAGATTGGTCAAGGCTGAAGCAAAAGTTGCAAAAGTCATTGCCATACTTTTTAAGTAAAGATTTTGGTCGAATGATCCTTTGCAATAGGAAAATTGTACTGATTATTTCTCTAAGTTATTAAATTAAGTCCATAATCTTGGTCAATAAAAGCTTTTATCAATGCTGGACAAATATATGTAGTTCAATACGTTTCACATAAAGCAATTAAAAAAAAGGCAAATATTGTTCATCTTTTATCTCAAAAAACCCTATCCCAATTTAATGAGTCATTTAGAGATTAATAAAATTTAAAACTTATCCGAAAACACCACAAAGAAAGACTTGGAAGACTGCCATCCATATTCACTTAGGCATCTTCTTACTATAATATCAAGAAAATTTCAAAGATTTAGATTTAAAAGAAATTCTTGTGTGCGGATTTTAACTTAAGATTTTCACATTTTTTGTGGGATCCATAAACCCTAGATGTGAAGGGAAAATAAAAACCCCTTGAAAATTAACATTTAATCAAATATTCTTCCTTGTAAATTTGAAAATCAAAATAAACATACATTAGAAACTTTCAACCAAGAGGGCAATCGAAATCATAAAACCAGGCCAAACATGAATCAATAGCCCACCAAAGTGGACAACTTCATTCCATCATTTGCAGCCAGTTTATAAACAATATCGACTCCAGCAAATATTGTTTGCACCATCACCATTAGTAACGTTGGCTTCAACCCTTGTAACTAAGGTTGAACAAAACTCCCGAACCAGCTAGTCGGACCCAAACCAAATTGAGCGATTCTTCTTAATTAAATATCCAAATGGGTATTTAAATCGAAAATCAACGAGTTCGGTTCTGTTCTCAATTCTAGAGCAACAATCGAATAACTGAATAAGAACCAAATCTTCTTAATTTTAAATTAATTTATTTTAAATAAGTCAAATTATATTTTCTCTAAATAAATTTCTAACTAGTTAATTTAGTTCAAACCCAAAAATATGATTTTTCATATTTCTAATTTTCAATCCAAGCCAACTTAATCAAATTGACCTAAGTTTTACCCGAATCTATTATTCTACTGTATTATTATTTCTACCATTTTGAAAAAATCGAATTAAAGTTCGACAAAGCCTCTCCTAATTATTGTGAGTTCACTATCTTCCTCTTCGTGTGATTTTAACAATCAAATCATGGAGAACTCAACAAAGAGAGACGCAAGACACATAAGATTGGACTATCGTATTTTGTAAGAGTTAAGAATAACATGTCATTAGTTAAATTAATATAGTTTTGTAAATATTAAAAAATTTAATTATAGTACGGAACCAAAAATCGAATCGGACTAAATCGAATGGAACTGAACTCGAGTGGTTCCATAATTAAATTTTGACACTACAATTTCACATACTAAATATCCGAAAATTTCGAATTTGGTTAAATTCTCGTTATAACCAAACCGAATCATGCCCAACTTTACTTGTAATGAGTCGCAAATCTTCATATTTTCAATCAAACTCCCGATCCACAAACTAAATAAATCTACGAACAAGAAACTTAAAAACCTTGGGAGATATAGGACTTTCAATCAAATTCCCAACCTACAAAATAAATAGTAAATCATCCACCAAGAAGAAACTTAAAAACCTTGAGAGATATAGGTTTTTCAATCAAAACTCTCAACCCGCAAAAGTAAATTTTAAATCTACCGAGAAGAACTTAAAAACCTAGACAAACAAAGAATTTTCAATCAAATTCCCAACCCACCATAGCAAATACATCTACCAAGAACAATAAGAACAAAATGAAGATTCAATTTTTTCAAGTTCTTGCTTGAAAAGAGGAGAAGAGCCAAAGGGGAAATAGAAGGAAAAATATATCTTATTTTTGGCATGTCCTTCTCTGCAATACCTACTGCAACAAATAGAAAATAGAGAAGAAGAAAGGAGAGATCTGGGTTGTATGGGGAACTGGAGTACAGAGCCTGGGTACTTGTGCAGAAAAATGGAAAAAGACAGAGAGACGAAAGAAAAATGAAAATGATAGTTGCTTGTGAAAATCAAATAAAGAGTGTAGCATATCAAAAAATAAAAATAAAAAAAAGGCACAACTTCATAAAAAAAAGTACCATCAAGAAGTGCTACTTTTAATATGGCTAAACTCCAACTGCTTTCGGTCGGAGTTTAGCCATGGCAGCTTGGCTTGTTGGTCAGTGAGCCACCCAATGCGCCCAGCTCAAGGTAGCTCGTTGGCCAGAAATACAAATGGGGCTCAGACCATGAGCTTGGCCCCAATGGCTTCCTTTTTTAATGAAAGTTTCCATATATTTGAAAATAGTAAAATAAAAACTGTGGGCTCCTTTTGCCACCTACAAATTGCAGGTTATTGAGCCAGCTCGCACCATTGCCATGACTTTTAGAATATGGTATGCTATACTTAAAATCAATGGACACACACCCCCTAAATCTCTACAAAGAGAGAAATGTGAATTTGTGGGGCTTTCAGTTAACTCAATATAAATAATGTCACTCATATATAATGGAGTTATATAATAATTTATATACAGATGATATGATGACATATGATTGGATAAGATTTCTTCAACTAAATAAATAAAATAAAAATAAATTTCCTCGTCTCCAAAAGTATATATTTTGTTCCCGCAATTTATGCATACCTCTTTCCTTGTGATTGGTTCTTAATATAAAATTTTCTGCATTTGTACTTTTCTTTAAAAAAAAAAAAGGTTGAACCCCAACCTTAAGGGTCCCCTACCGCCCCTGCCCTGGAATATCGTGAGGGAGGTAAATCGCAGGTTATGCCTCCAAGGGTAGAGGGTGGAATGCTGCTTGTACACTTGCACTTACCCAAGAGCCAAATCCATATTTCAGGATTCGAACCCTTGACGCGGCAGCCTCAAGCAAAACTGGATTTCTCCACTCTCCCCTTTTACCACTTGGAGATGTGCCCTGGGGGCACATTTGTACTTTTCTTTAGTTGACCTGGAGGAGGTGAAAGAACAAAAACAAGTTAAAAACATGGCAGCGTATTAAGTATTTATATTTCATTTGACACCATAAAAACTTGTTGTCGATTTTATATCTCACAAGTGTACGGATCATAACAAGTAATAAAATGAATCTAAGAGTCTAAGTATCATTCCCATGAGGATTACTATTTAATAATTGATTCAATTATTCCTAATTTGAACTTGATTGAAAACAAATAAAATAGTTTCGTGGTTCGTGTCTAAATTATTTTACATGCACAACTTATCGAATTTGGGTTATAAAAGTATAAATATGAATGCTAGGACTTACAATTTTACCTATGGATCCCCTCTAATTTGCCAATCAAGATTCATTACAATTGTAATGTTCGATTGAATTCTTTTAAAGTACTCAATTTACCCTTCTCGAATTCTCAATGAACTTTTTTAACTAATTTAATCACATATCTCTATGCGAATCATCTTTAGTTAAACGAAATTTTAGTTCTAAGAATTCATCTAAGACCTTAGTAATCAGTATAAGTATTTCTACACATTATACTAATTTACGAATATTAATATATGGTATAAATCCTAGACTCACCTCTCAATTCGTAAAAGATTCAAAAAATCATCAAATTAGTGATCAAGTAATTTAATGCATTAAACTCATAGCAAAATCAATACATGTAAAATTAAAAAATAATAATAATAATAATCTTGAATAAAAGAAATAAAGGGTCACACATATATTACATTGTTCACTCTAGCTATGAATTTAGCTACTCAAAAAGTATAAAATTCATTATTGGGTTTTGAAATCTTGATCATGAAAAGAAATCTTCTTCAACCTCAAAAATCTTCAAACCCAAGCTTTTGCTCTTTGATCTTGATGATTATGTGATTTTCTTTCTCCCAAATTGTGTTCATTAGAGCTGTATTTATGTCTTCTTTTAACTAGGAAAGAGTTTTAGTTGAACTGGACTTTTAAAAAGATGAATTTAACTTGAAAATCCAAATTGTATGCTACGCGACGCCCAGGCATTGCAACTGGGCCCCTAGGTGCAGATTTTTGAAAAAAGATCAATAATGTGGCGCCTAGGCGCCACCGCCAACTTCGATTGCACATGCATAGTTTTCAGTATTTTCATCATAATTTATTCTCCTGATATCTGATTGAGATGATTCAAAATGCTTTGGTAAGCTAACTCAAAGAACTACAACTTTGCTTGATTTGTGAAAATATTTTGGCCATAGTTCACTCTTTTGACTTCTAATTGCATCCAATTGACCCCTAGAACTCTAAAATTTTCATCGTGAGGTCCAACACAACTTTTGAGTATTTACACTTTAGTTTGCCAACCTTGGATCTTAATTTTTTTGCCAATTTTTGCTTCTTTCTTTCAATTTCATTTTCATTTATCAAGTTTCACCTAATAAATAAAATATACAATAAATTAGACTATAATTGTTCAACAGAATTATTAAATGTCTATATTTTTAAGTCCAAATAAGTGTACAAAATGCACTTATCAACATCTTATGCAAATTTAAACTGTTTAGACATACCTTCATCTTAATCACTCAACTCCTTAGTGACACACAAATATAATAGTTTCGAGTGAACTGATCAATAACATAGAACTTGGGGTGAACTCAATCAAGGATTACTACGAAAGCTATAACAAGCCAAGGTACAAAAATATCCGTGCTTAAAAGCAGAATAGTCTTGTTCACTCTTTTATGTACCACTGATATTTGGACTCAAGAACCTCAAATTTTCTTCTTTTTCGTCATTCTCAATTCTGTTTGTATAGCCAAGTATAGTGGAGGGAGGTCACCCTCAAATATCTTGATTTCGCTGAGTTGAATGTTTAGCCAGAAAGTTACATCAACCAACATGAATTTTTGATATGTATAGCTTCAACTCCCCCTTTCTGAATAAGTTCTGTAGATAGGATCCGTCTTCATCATTCTCAAGTGTGTTTGAGATAGGTCATCGATATCTTGAATAATTGAGGTGCTTGCAATTCATAATCAGGAATTCGTACCAAGAATATGGAAATAGTATATAGTATCAGGCTAGTGGTAATAGTAGTTGAGAAGTTAATATATAACAGTAGAGTAAGACGCAACTAGAGCTAGACAAAGCAAGTGTTACAATTTCAAGTCGCGCAAACTCCAGAAAGTTCGTTAAAATATGGAATAATTCTTCTCATGTGGCCCTGTTTCAATAGCACGGCTGTAAAATATGACACAGACAGACTGCCAGCTCACCGGGGAAACTCCCAAACTCAAAACAAGGAGATATACACCTGCTGTCACTGTGAGGGAGAATGAAGGTAGATGAAATAAACATGACGTGTCTTCATATGCAAGGGTTTAGTAATCAAACGATGGAAGGAAAGGTTCCACAAGTGCAAATGAAGAAATCTTGTAAAAGAAGCTCATACAACTGTCTGTAACAGCTCTCTGAAATGGTACTCGTAATTACAATGATCACCAAGGAAAAGTATTATTGGCACATCAATGATGAACAAGCTCACTCGCAATCACCATTACAATATACATTGAGTAGAAATAAGAAGTAAATCAATGTACTAACCAAAGCTTCTTCTCTCATCTAACCCGGCATGCGGCAGAGCCACCAGGGGAACAATTTTGGTTGGAAGTACGGCAACCAACAGCACTGCCAACAGTCCCACCAAATCTGTGATGCATCCTGTAATCTGGAATCCTTCCAGACACAAAAGGACTCCCACCACAGATAAGAGTCGGTGTTAATGATGATGACGACGATGAGACTTCATACACTCCACTACTGCCCTGTAAAGGCTCCAAAGTCTCAACTACGTCGCTCATTAAAGGTCTAGCTTTTGGGTTTTGGTTCAGACAATAATATGCCAAGCTGCAAGCTTTCTGTGCTGCCCTTACTGAGTACTGATTCTCTAATCTGGGGTCTATTA